AAACAGACAAAAATTCTAAAAACCACATTATTGGCTTCGGTATCGATTAGAGATCACGCTTCAAATATTCTTTTAAAAAATATTCAATGTACAGTTTTGACTTTTCTACGATTTATTATATGTGTAGATAGCTGTTGCCCGCGACTTCGTCCGCGTAGATTAATGACTTCTGACAGAATTAACCAGAATCAATTCAGTGCCCAAGTAAGATTTACCTATTTTGAAATGATTTATCGTAGTTTCAATAAATAAATAATCCCGCAGGGATCTTACCAGTACAGTGCCCGATCACGTAAGGTTTGAGTAATAAAAACTATTCTATCGACTATTGTTGTACCGAATCTCTCTAGAATAAGTTCAGTGGTTAAGAGTTAGAGAGTCCTGGGGCATTGACGCATAGTTCCCGTTCTCGTGAGACATCTGTGAAAAAACTATCATACGTTACCCAGGTCCCAAATCATCGTTTTACCGAATGTAATTCAAAAAGATTCAATGATTCTAAATTCAACGGCTAAGAAGATTTATACAAACTCTCATTCCCTATTTTATCCCCTTAGGGGTGGAATTTATCAAAATCCTTTCTAAAGAGATACCTATGTCATAGTAACTTTATGCATGCAAAGTCTCAGCCCGATCAATTTAAAACTGGCAAAGTATCATACTTTGGGGTGAGAATGTTCAAAAACCTTTCTAAAGGGACGTTTACGTCATAATATCCATCTGCACGCCGAATTTCAACCCGATCGGTGTAAAACTGACAAAGCCTCACACAAACGTTCATCCCCTATTTTACCCCCTTGGTGGAAATTATCAAAATCCTTTCAAAGCGGATGCTTACGTCATAACATCTATCTGCATGCCAAATTTCAACCTGATCGGTTTAAAACTGACAAAGGCTCATATAAACTTTCATCCCCTATTTTACCCACTTGGGGGTGGAAATTATCAAAATCCTTTCACAGCGGATGCTTACGTCATAACATCTATCTGCATGCCAAATTTCAACCCGATCGGTTTAAAACTGACAAAGTCTCATACAAACTTTCATCCCCTATTTTACCCCCATTGGGGGTGGAAATTATCAAAATCCTTTCACATCGGATGCTTACGTCATAACATCTATCTGCATGCCAAATTACAACCCGATCGGTTTAAAACTGACAAAGTCTCATACAAACTTTCATCCCCTTTTTTACCCCCTTGGGGGTGGAAATTATCAAAATCCTTTCTTAGCGAATGCCTACGTCATAACATCTATCTGTATGCCAAATTTTAGCCCAATCTGTCCAGCGGTTTGGGCTGTGCGTTGATAGATCACTATGTCAGTCAGTCAGTCAATCAGTCAGTCAGTCAATCACCTTTGAATTTTATATATATAGATTGTGGTTATTTTAAGAGTATTTTGAAGTTATGTATAGTCGCTTAGTAGGCTATTTACGACAAGAGAATGTTTGTGTAGGTAGCACACAAAGAATTGTTCCTTAACATAGTAGTTACTATCCCCCGCTAAGGGTACAATCTAAAGTTTCACTTCTGGATAAGTACAATATTAATAACTTTTTGCTGCTCGTTGGCCGAGTGGTCGCAAGTACGACAGGAATGGGTCTTCCTGAGACCCCTTCCCGGGTCTGCCAAAGAAATATTGGGTTTTTTATGAATCCTCAGTAGTAGCACAGTGTTTGGAAGTGTGCTCGGTATATGACAATTGGCTCACTCTCTATTACATGGGCCTCATAACATAAATAGTGAAAAGTGGGTGTTACATTGTAGTGGCATGAAGTGCCGTAATGTGCACCTCTGCCTGCCCCTTCAGTGACAAAGGCGTGATGTTATGTGTATTAACTTTTTTAGTAACATCATGAAGTTTAATTGTAACAACGCATGCTTTTGTCATAGCGGTAGACAGCACCACTAAGCGCCACCAACTACGAACTTTACGTATGTACTTCTTTATCTTCAACGTCCATCAAAATCATACATCTTGTCATACAAGTTCTCCAATATCATACTGATTGATTGATATCTGTTAGGTATGTTGTCATATTAAGTCAGCATGTCTATCTATTTAATCAATCGTTTTGTCGGCATATCGCAATTCATAAATTAAAACACCGACATTCAGATTATATAATGTATTTTTTAAGGAGGCAAATCTTCGATTGACTTCTCCCGCCCGGGTGAGGCGGGAGAGAGTGTCAGACTCTTACTGACTAAAAACCATCCCGTTCCTACTCCTGCATTGCTAGCCGGAGCCCCGGTAACCCGTTAGGTACTCCGCGACTCCGTATCGGCATCACCTCTATTGGGCCCCATCCATGGTGGTCTGATGTTTCTTTGAGGCGCGCGCGGAACGCGACGCGCAGTACGCTCGGGTCTGGTTCTGGTCGGAGGCCCGCGAAGGAGGTAAATCTTCGAATGACTGCTCCCGCCTAGGTAAGGCGGGAGGGAGTCTCCGACTCTTTCTTACTAAAAACCACCCCTTTCCTACTCCTGCAATAAGACCCAGAGCTCCGGTGACCTTTTTGCGTTCTCCGCGGACGTATTAAACATAATTTTGATATATCTTTGTGATGGGCACTTATTAGTAGTTGTTATTCAGGGTTCGGGTATGTACCCAAAGACTAATGTCCTTGGTTTAATGTAGGTAATGTCTGTCAGAAATTTCTCGCTTGCTGGTCAATCCCCAAGCGGTCACCGGTGACCGCTGTAACTCCATTATAAACCTTATTTCCGATGTTCAGAGACTACTTTTGTATGAACAAATTTTCGATACGATTTAAACCAGTTCGAAATTTAAATTTTGCCTGCCATGGGAAACCAACCATAGATGTCTTGATCGGCACTGACAAGCAATCTTAGGGACAATAAATTTTAGACCAATGTTTTTTTTTTCATTTTGTCTTTACATCAAGTACCTACTTACTTGGTAACTGCTAAGTACCATGTCGTGATCAATTGATTACATCCGATACGTGTTCTTGCAAGCGCCTGATAAATTGATTTCTTTCAATTACCTAGTTCAAGTAAAACAGCGTCTCTTTATTAGTTTATTTTATTTTCATATTATAAAGCATATTAAATGTAGTAATAAAAGGAGTACAGACAAAAAGCTCTATTAACTGATAATTCTGGCCAAAAACACATTTAATTTAAATACTTTCAAGTTAAATACTTTCCATACTTTCAAGGAACTAAAGGCGTGTTAGCAATGTTCATTTATTTAAGATAACGCCATCTATAATTTTCTACTGAAACCATTACAAAGCGAACAGCCGTAGTTGACTAGAACCTGTTGGTGCTTTAGCAGTTCAGAAAAAAATTAGTAGATGGCGCAGTAACAAAAAATTATTATCTAATTTGTTTTTGTTCCGTTAATAAATATACAAAATTACCTTTTTTAATTTTATCAAAGTTTCTATATTTAAATATGAACCCGATTGTTGCACAATAAATCTGATTCAGTGTAAACAACGTCTTGTAAAACATTTTAGTAATACAGAATATTTCAATATATTTTGGATAGATGGCGCTAACATTAACTTCAAGCAAGTTATGAACAATAAACTTTCTGACAAGTAAAAAGAAATATAAGTAGTTAGGTACTTGCTTTGCCTGATCTGGAAAATAAATCTAAAACACCTTAATAGCTGTCAAAATCAGTGAACTCTCTAACGTGACTAGTTTAAATAGCAACGTAAAATATAACTGAGCAATGTAATACTAAAATAAACAGTTAAGTACCATATTAGTTTCAAAAATACTCTTTATAGTTTCTCAAAAGCATTCTTAGTTTCGAAAACTGCAACAAAAACAAACTCTACAGCTACTTTCAACAGAATATGCCAGTAATTGTCAAAGTTTCACTGTTTACCGAGTTCCGCCGAGTACCTCCGAGTATTTCCGAGTTTCCACGAGTTGTGCCGAGCGTCGACGGTTGAATAATTAAATAAGTTGTAAAGTTTTGAGTATGTGTAGACAAGTGCGTATCTCCAGGGATTGAAAGGTTTGGGCTTAAAGATAACAGGGTAGAAAGCTTTAGAAGTTGTGGTTTGAGGAGCCTAATTGAGAACCACAGGATTTAAAGGTACTTAATACTTTTGGGTTTTATTTGTAACTAGCTGTACGCGCGTCTTCGTCCGCGTGGAGAACCGAAAACCTGACTTAAGTTGCTTCCTAGTAGATACATCTGCCTGTCTTGCACATGCTGAACTGGTCCCATTTCACCGCAGACTTGGGACATTAGTAGATATTTATAAACTTATGTGGAAAATCTGTTATGTCACCTGTTTTAGCGTGTGAAATAAAGTTTTTGTTTCTTTCTTTCTTTCTAGCTGCCAATAAAAGTCCCGACAAAATCGATCCAGCCATTTCAGAGACTAAAAGAGAACTAGCCAGAACGAATAGGCAGTCTGATGGACAAAAGTTGTAAGAAATATTTCGTTACAATTACTTACGTGTGTAGTAAACAGAGGTTATTTGAATATTACAAACAGACACTCCAATTTTAATAGATGTAGGTACTAGATAAAGTTCATTTGGTGTCGTTGTGGAGTGGTTATTTTAGGAGAGAATTTTAGATTATATATTTGCCTGTAGTGTGGGCTTTACTACGTAAGCATATAGGGACATATGTATGTTAATTCCTAAGAAGGTATAGGAACTTATTTATTGAGGGTGGAAAATCATCCAATGACTTCTCCCGCCTTGGGTTAGGTAAGAGGGAGTGTCAGGCTCTTACTGACTAAAAACTACCACGTTCCTTCTCCTGCTCAACAAGCCGGTGCCCTGTCAACCGGTTAGGCCTTTCGCGGCTCCGTCAGTTAGGTATAGGAACTTGTAAATGTATTTCTAATTAGTTGTACTAGCTGTCCACTATAACAGACTGCGAAAAATGGAAAAGTAGAAACAATGTTTTTTTAATACAGTTTATTTAATTACATACTGAAATTAAGATTAAATATTTATTTTTATATATACACATTAAAGTTTAGTACTTTTAAATTATCTACAAAATAATACATTTTTCATCATTCTTTGGCGAATAAATGCAATTACTTACACAACAATACGAAATTTAAATGATAATATGAAATGAATAACTTATTGAATAAAATGTAACTATTCACAGCCTGATTATTTTAAATGTAGATTATTCAATGGATTTAATGACTTATCTACCATTGATAAGACAGTGTTCTCAACTCAGATCTTAAAAGTCGTGCTCAATAGCAGCATGGGCGCCCAATTCCGGTGTGTGATGTCCGAATTGCTTCTGGAAGTTCCCACCAGTGACTAATCTAGTGTTCTTGTCCAATTTCCAAACACCGTCACCGGTAAGGGATACCTGTAACGAAGGGATAAAGTAATTGAAGCCACTAAAGAATATCCCGCAAACTGTGCATTTGGTATGTGAAAGTGTGGGAGATCCATGCTTCGGCAGCCGGTACGAATGGGCCAGCTCGACCGGAGTGATACCACGGCTTTACAGAAAACTGACATTTGCGTTGTGTTTCGTCATCTGAGTAAGGTTACTGGTCATTAGGCCAGTAATAAGGGTAATTTTACCCTCCTATCAAATATCCCCAATGCCTGAAACCCCAAAAATCATCGAATTCCTAATCCCCGAAACGCTGGTAACGCACTTGTAACGCCTCTGGTGTTTCGGGTGTTTATGGGCGATGCCGATTGCTTACCATCAGGTGAACCGTCTGCTTGTTTAGGGACCGGCCAGAGAGATAAATAGGCATAATATATTCCAAAATAACTTAGTTCACACTTACACCACTGCCTCTCCCAATTTCCTTATGGACATCCAGGGTAGCTCTAGCGTTATTGTTGTTCCAGTTCAGCTTGCCACCAAGAATGCTGCTGTCTCCAGCTGGGCCGAGCACTCGGGAGCCATACGCCTGACCTTGGAGACGACCACGGTGGTCGTTGAATATATCCTGCTTGTAGCCACCTCGGCCCTATAGAAGCAAATGGAGAATGTAGATTAGACATGAGTACATTCAAGAAGGTTGATTGTTGGATGTGTAGAAATATTAATATTATTTTTCTAATTTTGAGTAGTAATTACTTAGCATATGACGGCCGACCCGCTGCATGCAGCGCTGATCTTACAGATGAAAGCCTTGCTTTGCATTGTCTTTGGTTAAGGTGACACAGGTGGACACAGGTATCATAAGAAAAACGTCTATTAAATTATACCGACAAATTGAAATATTCCACTGGCAGTATAGTCGACAACACCGTTTTGGAGACTCGGTTGCCAAAGAACAAAAAAAAAATAATTGAAATATTTTAAAGAATGCATGTTATTTAGATAACATAGTGCTGTTACTTTTAGTTATTTAATTAAAAAAATATAAGTGAGAATCGGCGGGCTGACGCAGTGACAATTAATTGTCGATTCTCTGTTTTTTTTTGTTTGTATTCCAAGGTTACTTAGTTTATTATTTTTTTTAAAAGTATTGTTATTTTATTTAAATAAAACTCTGTTGTTATAGATGTATCATATTATTTCATTGCTGTCTCGAATGCTAATCTTATATAGATTATATGAAACGCCTAACGCAGCACACTGCCTCAGAAATTTTGACAAATTTTTAGCTGATATCAGCGCTACAAGTAAGTATGCATACTTAAGTGACGATAATACAAAACATGGTCATTATAATACATAACATAACGCCTTTTATCTCCGAAGGGGTAGGCAGAGGTGCACATAGAAGTAACACCCACTTTTCACTATTTATGTTATGAGTCCCATGTAATAGGGGGTGAGCCGTGGAGTGAGCCTATTGCCATATACCGGGCACATTTCCAGACTCCGTGCTACTACTGAGAATTTTTTAAAAACCCATTAATACTTTGCCCGACCCGGGAATCGAACCCGAGACCCCTTGCCCGGCAGTCGCACTCGTGACCACTCGGCCAACGAGGCAGTCATTATAATAATACATCAAAAAGTTAATGATAATACAAAAACGTTCTGATGTCTTTTTAAAAATTGAACATAACATAATTACTAACATAAGGTGAAGATACACTAGGATAGAAATATTTTTCCGTTTATCTTTTACTAGCGACCCGCCCCGGCTTCGCACGGGTGCAATATGTATATACATACAAACCTTCCTTAAGAATCACTCTATCTATTAAAAAAAACCGCATCAAAATCCGTTGCGTAGTATTAAAGATCTAAGCATACATACGGACATACAGCGAAAGCGACTTTGTTTTATACTATGTATTGATGTATTGATAACCTATCAAAAAAGTGTCAAGTTCATGATGACTACTTACAAAAAGGCCAGAATCAGAACTGCCAAGTGTTCCAAAGATCCTTCCCCTGCCAGCGTTGCGTTCAAAGTTGAAGAACCTGGTCTCATCATTCGTTGGGAGCCGGTTGACTTGAGCGCACACACACGCCAGGACAGCAGCGAAACACAGGAGAATTGGGGACTGCATGGTGATCTGGAACAAAGGAAAGTGACGATTGTAAAAATAAAAGAACATCATAAGCTGATATAATATTATGTTGATACATTAACTCGTCGAGTACCGTCATTATAGACACAATTATAGAACAATAGGTTGCGGTCACCGGTGACCGCTTGGTGTTTGACAGTTTAAGTGACGATTGTGAAAATAAAAGAATATCAAAAGCTCAGCATAATAAATAAAACTAATATTAGGAAAGGAAATAATTTTCCTTAATAAGTAAGTATTTTTATGGAATAAGCTGGTAAACGAGTAGACGGGTCACCTGATGGTAAGCAATCGGCGTCGCCCATGGACACCTGGTATTTGGTTATAATATTAAAACATTACAAGTCTTTTATATGTAGCAAAAAGAAATTAATTGACGCATTATGCAAATAAAAGACAAATAAAAGTAATTTTGAAACACATGACATAACATCACGCCTTTTATCCCCGAAAGGATAGGCAGAGGTGCGCATTACGGCACTTAATGCCACAGTACAATGTAACACCCATTTTTACTATTTATGTTGTGAGTCCCATGTAATAGGGGGTGTGCCTATTGCCATATACCGGGCACATTACCAGACTACGTGTTACTATTGTGATTTTTTTTTAAACCAGTAATACTTTGCCCGACCCGGGAATCGAACCCGAGTCCACTTGTCCGGCAGTCGCACTTGACCACTCAGCCAATGAGGCAGTCAGTATTTTTTTTTTGAAGCTTCAGAGCTAATAGTCTGAATTCTATTGCTGAATAACCCTCGGTATCGAAAGGGTCATTGTTGGGGGTTGATTTGAATAAAAGTACTTCAAGTACTTGGTAGTGGTTACCGAACACTTGTATTCCGAATTATTGTACATATAATGAAAAATATGTTACAATAGCACGTGACACATTGATAACAACATCAATTTTTTTTTTTTTGAAAGGACCACTCGTAGTTCAGCACGCTAAGGCTGTTGACTACCCGGACAAACCCTGCGATGGCCACTAACCAAAGTTAAGTCCCCCAACATCAAAAAAATTCTTTAGACCCTTATACTATTGCCGGAGAATCTTAACACCGCGATTCAGAAAACGATCTCAAATAAAAAACGCCATCTATGGACGAATGTTGGAACAGTTGTTTTCTGAATCACGGGTTTCTTACATGTCAATCGCTTGGCGGTTAGACAATTGCAAATAATATTAACACGTTAACTGCCACGTAGGTTACCGGTGACCTACGCTAGCGGAGGGTTTGCCTTCAACAGTTTTCTGTCGGCAGGCAAAGGCTTAAACAAATTATGTAATCCCAAATTTCTTATAAATAATACCGAAACTCGTTAACACACTTGCAAACTATACGACTTCTATCTCGAACTCCATATTTTATACATCTTAGTAACTCGAGGTGAATTCCCGAAGGAGGTGAGAAAAGGGGACTTACTTACTAACCAATGTTTTGTTAACCGAGAGATTATAACGGAACAGGATAATAGGCGTGTCGACAGGGTAAAAATATTAAAAAAAGTAATTAGTCCGTCATTAAGATCGCACGAAAATATCAGACACGTATTTTTTGTTTTATCAAATTAACAGAAGAATACGTAGTTATTCCGCATTAAAGTTAGGGAGTGGGCGGTGTTGACGTCACACTTACGGAGAAATCGTACCTAATTGTTTTTTTTCGCGTGATTTTAACTCAAAATATCTACATGTTTTTTTGGATACGAGAAAAAAGAAAAAATACGTATCGACGATTTTTAAAATATCTAAAAGACGGACAAAAAATTAAAAAATTGTCGCCATGCCTATTGCTGTTATAAATTTATCTGCTGCCTCGGCTGCCCCGTTGGTTGGTTGGGCAAAGTATTACTGGGTTTTTAAATATTCTCAGTAGTCGCACGGAGTCTAGAATTGTGCCCGGTATATGGCAATAGACTCACCCCCTATTACATGGGACTCATAACATAAATAGTGAAAAGTGAGTGTTACATTGTATAGTGGCATAATGTACACCTCTGCCTCCCCCTTCGGGGATAAAAGGCGTGATGTTATGTTCTATTTAGCAATATCAAAAGGAATCCCCTATTTCCAATTAAGACGTCATGTCATTAAGATTTGAGTCTTATCGCAATGAGATAAGGTCATAAACCTCTGCTGTCAACATTTCAGCTGATTGCAATGTAAACAAAAAAGATTCGTGTAACAGTTATGCGAGTAATTACGACCGAGGTCAAATGAGGTCATCTGTCTGATATGTGGGGATAAACTTATATGCATAACATAATATTGGCTGTAAAATATATTGTGCTTCTGCCTGCGACTTCGTACGCCCAATCCCGTTTTCTCCCGTTCCCATAAGATTTCCAGGAATTTTTTTATAACCTTCTCCTGTCAATAACAAACACAACAAAAAATCAGCCAAATCGGTCTAGCCGTTCTCAAGTTATAGCGTGACATTTATTTTAATATATATTTACCTCCCAATAGGGTTGATGCCGATTCAGAGCCGAGGAGAACTTAACGGGTTACCGGGGCTCCGGCTCGAAGTGAAGGAGTAGGAACGGGGTTGTTCTATGTCAGTAAGAGTCTGACACTCCCTCCCGCCTCATCACCCAGGCGGGAGGAGCCATTCTATGATTTTCACCCCTTAAAAAAATGTAACAAACGCTTTACTGAAACTACATCAAAATCGGTTCAGCCAATCGCGAGGTATTCGACTACAAACACACAAACATGTCACACTGTGAGCCTCCATTTTTTTGTTTTTCAAATCAGTTAAATATTTAACGATGACTTCTAAGGCCCACGGTCACGGCCAAATGATAACAAGGGGAATCACTTTGTAAAAATATACCACAGCACAAACATATTATCCAGTTTAACTATACCTCTCAATGTATGTAAGCTTTATAGAATGAACGGTCATATTATACTGGTGACCTCAGTGACACATCTGACAAAATTTGAAAAAGACAACTGCACATCACGGCAGTATTGTCCAGTATAAGAAGACCTCTCACTGTAAGGCTATGTCACACAATGCACAGCCAAGTTATACTGGTAGTTTTAGTCCATTATGCGTTTGCACCGAAACATTTCGTTTTGACGAAATGATTCATAATAACAGACTGTTTGAACAATTTCTACGGGGACTATTTTGTATTATTGACATATTTTCCTTGTTTTATATATAACTTTCGTATTAGTTGTTCATTAGGTATTTTATTTTTGTAAATATTTTAGTTAGTTAGTAGTTTGATTCCCGCACGTAACAACTGTTTGTCTGATCCACAGATTGTTGTTTCGGGTCTGGGCGTCATGTGTATGTGAACTTGTATGTTTGTAAACGCACCCACGACATAGGAGAAAATCATAGTGTGGGGATCGTTTAAAAAAAAAAGTTGTTAGTAAATAAGTTTTTAATCACATGATTGGTTCTATGGAATCCGTTGCATAGTTTGAAAGGCCTACGTGTACACAGGGACAGACAAGTTGAAAGCGACGTTCTTTTACCTATACTAATATTATAAAGAGGAAAGATTTGTACCTATTTTTGTATGTTTGTACGTTTGTAATGAATAGGCTCAAAAAGTACTGGGCCGATTTAAAAAAATATTTCACCAATAGAATGCTACACTCTTCCAATTTGACATAGGCTACATTTCATTTTGAAAAAAATTAGGGATCCTTGGTAAAATTTGAACAATGTAACCGAAGGTGTAGAAAAATGAGTCTTAAAATGTCTTTCATTGAATGCGCTGCCGAAACTATTAGCGATAGAACAAAACAATGTACAACAATATTGAAGAACATCATAATGTCTACAAAAACTCCGCGGTAGCATATGTCCAACTATTGTAGTTATGTCACTACAACAATCCAAATTGCCAAAAATAAATAATTGTCTACCCCGTGCGAAGCCGGGACGGGCTGCTAGTACTATGTATAGTGATTTCTCATAACATAACATAACATCTCGCCTTTAATCCCCGAAGGGGTAGGCAGAGGTGTACATTACGGCACTTAATGTCACTGTACAATGTAACACCCACTTTTCACTATATGTATATGTTAGATACTAGCGGCCCGTCCCGGCTTCGCACGGGGGGACTGACTTAAGATTTTTTAGATAGTTTTACGTTTTATTTATATTTATTCTCAGTTTATTATTTTTTAAATAGTAGGTAAGTACTTACCTAATAGGTATCTTTTGGATGAATTAATAGTCTTAAGGTAACCGATTGATCAATTCAAAAGTTATCTAGAGGTAGAGCAAACTTTTATAAGGATTGAACCATTCATTAAAACGATTGTTATGGGTAAACTATAAAAGGTAGACATATGCTCTCGCGGACTTTTTTAAAAATAATGTTAAGATGAACAATTCATCTATAGAGCATTTTTGTTTAACTTTAACTATATGTTCAGCGCACGCCACGGAAGGCCTCAGAAACGATACTTTTCCCCCGTTTTTAAAACATTTTTGGTTACTGCTTTACAACTATAGGACCTAGCGTGATATTATATTGCCTATGTTACTTCTGAATAATGTAGCTTTCTAATGGTGAACAAATTATTGCAATCGTTCCAGTAGTTGTTGGGTTTATTCATTACAAACATACAAAAATACAAATCTTTCCTCTTTATATTATTAGTATAGATGAGTCCCGCGTAATAGGGGGTTAGCCTATTACCATTTACCGGGCACGATTCCAGACTCCGTGCTACTACTGAGAACTTTTGAAAAAACCTAGTAATACTTTGCCCGACCCGAGAATCGAATTCGAGACCCCTTGCCCGGCAGTCGCACTTGCGACCACTCGGCCAACGAGGCAGTCAAGTTGTAAAAATAGTGATTTCTCATGGGTAGGTATTTATAACTATGTAGGTCTACAACTCGCACGTGACGTCACCGGACCTCCAATGAAACGGACCTATAGTCCCTGGGTACTACCGACAAAGTTACACGGAACATAATTCACAACCTATCACAAAATCTGCGTACTGTACTGCCTACAAAATATTCGTTGCTGTTGAAGATGTAAAGTTTAACTAGATGGAGCATATTTCATATATGGTTATAATATATGTATGGTATGGTTTGACACAATATTCAAGCTAGGCACCTGCCTTTTTAGTGCTCAACCCACCTGGGTTGAGCATTAAAAATTTTTTTATGGGAGAAACCAGTAAACTAGCAGACGAATCACCTGATGGTAAGCAATCCGCGTCGCTCATGAACACTTGGAACACCAGTGGAGTTAGAAGTGCGTTTCTGGCTTTTTGGGCATTGGAAATGTGAAAATTGATGGGGATTCAGGGATTAGGGAAATTAGGAATGGGGGGGAGTTAATTGGGTCATTGGGGCTCCGGTAACCTCACTTACACATTTATGGAAACTATAGTTTTTTTCTTCTCCTCTTGTAATATCTTCTGATTCACTTCGTTGCGGGAACCAAGACAGTTACTCATGTCCCTGAGACGCGTCGGACTTCAGTGTTCCGGTGTTTTCATGGTTGTATCTACTGTAGATCTTGGCTTTCAGGAGTTGCAGCGGTTTTGGGAAGCCGTGGCGGGTTTGTCCCAATAAAAAAAACTTCACTTACACGTCAAAACACAACGTAATGTTGTTTCACGTCGGTTTTCTGTGAGGCCGTGGTATCACTCCGATCGAGCTGGCCTATTCGGTCTGAAGCATAACTCACCCACGCTTCGTGTTTGAAATAGGACAATTTTCTTCATGTACCCAAAAAGGTTTCCTTGTAATTCAGCAGTAGCTTCGTAATGACAGCCTGTGCTTCAGAAAATACGTACCTATGTTAGTGTTTAAGATTTTACGCCTATTAATTTTCGTGGCTGCACAACTGGCTGCCACGCACGTTGCGTGGTCCACAAATTGTTGTTTCGGGTCTAGGTCTAATGTATGTGAACTTGTACTTTGATATTGACAATCCGAGTGTGTGGCAACGTTTTATTTTTAAATAACGAAAATGAAAAGAAAAGAAATGTGGTCAACAATTTCGAGTTTTTCTATTAGTGTTCACAGTTGTATAAACTCTGTAGTATTTCGCTCCCATGCCTCGGCACGTAGAGCCGTTTGTCACAAGACTGTAAAGGTGTTTGCCAGTAGCATTTGCATGAATAG